GGGCCCCGCGCGGGGCGCGCGCCCGCCCCCCCCCCCCCCCCCTGCCGCTCCTGCCCTTCCTCTCGCTGCGCGACTACGGCTTGTGCATGGCCGCGCTGCTGCTCTTCTGCCTCGGCTCCCTCTGCTACCAGCTCGGCGGCGGCCCCCCGCGCTTCCTGCTGGACCTCAGGCACTATCTGGGTAAGCGCGAGGGGCTCAGTCTCCCGCCGGGGGGGCTCACAGGGAGTGTGTGTGTGTGTGTGTGTGTCTGTCTCACATGGGCTCAGATGCAAGTGTGTGTGCGTGTGTGCGCGCGCTCGGCGCTGGACGTGGCCCAGCCCCGCTCCCCCCTTCCCCTTCATAGTTGTTAGGGGCTGGACAGAAGGGGCCCCCGGGTCCGGCGGGCAGGAAAGGCCGCTGGGGTCAGATGAGCGCAGCAAGGTGGGCATCAGGATGCTTTCTGAAGATCGCCAGAGGTGGGTTAGCGCGCTCCAGCAGCCTCTGTGTGGCGCATTCGGGGTCCCCCCCACATGTGGAAGCTAAGGGGCAGCTTTTCTCCCACCGGCTGGGGAGTGGAGTGGGGTGAGCTGAGCTGTTTCCTAGCAGCAGCCCCCTGCGCCTCCAGTGAGCCCCGCAGGCTGCTGCTTCTGCTGCATCCAAACCCGCTGGGCATCCCCTTGTAGGCGGCCTTCCCAGTCGCACAGGTTCACAGAAGTTTAGGGCTGGAAGGGACCTTGTGGGATCATCGGGTCCAGCCTCCCTGCTCTGGGCAGGAAAGACTGCTGGGGTCAAATAACCCCAGCAACTTGTGCATCCAGTCTCCAGGAGTTGCTTCCTGGGCATACCTACAATTAAACTGGTTTGATGTTTAGCCTCATCCCATTTCCCCCAACCTTATTTGAAGCCAGTATCTGGGGTCTGTGACAAGCACCCCCCAGTTGAGCCCAGGGGTGGTTTTGCTTCCTAGGGGTGCTCCTTGGAGAGGAAGCCAAGCAGTAGTTCTCCAAATGTTCCCCCATTTTCCTACTTTCCTAAACCTTCTGTAGGGATTTAAGCAGCAGTCATAGCACCCATTGGTTTGGTTTGGTTTTATTTGCTGCACCGGTGATCTTCCCTCTGTCCTGATCTTTGAATGCCACAGGTATAGATAGTTCACTTTTACTTCCTTAAGGAAACAGAGGATGCAAAATGATTCCATACAAAGCGCTTTCAAATGCTGCATTCATTTTGAGTTTTTGTAAGCCCCTGAGATAGAGACCCCCATGAAAAGTCCCAGGCATTCTTTGTAGTAAGTGTTCAAGGGACCAACACACCTGTTCTCCCTTTATAAGAATCTAATGAAATGGATATCATGGAATCATAGAAAATGAGGGTTGGAAGGAAGTCATCTAGTCCAGCTCCCCCGCTCAGAGCTGGACCATCCCCAACTATGCCAGCCAAGGCTTTGCCTACTCGGGTCTTAAAGACTTCTGAGGATGGAGAGTCCACCACCTCTCTGGGTAGCCTGTTCCAGTGCTTTACTACCCACCTCAGGTACTGACAGATGCGTACAACCCCCACCCTCCCCAGCACTTTACCATAAGAGGAATTGCATCAGTTTGACTCGGCTCACTAGCAACTGTATAGCTTGTGCACTTCAGAGGGCTTTTTGATGCTTTTATCAGCTATTAAATAAAAGTGCTAAAAATTCCGGCTGAAGCACATGAGTGAGACAGGCAGTGGGTGAGCCAGGTCAGA